GATCACAAGTAGGCAGAGAGGCAGAGAGAGAGGAGGAAGCAGGCTCCCTGTGGAGCAGAGAGCCCGATGCGGGGCTTGATCCCAGGACCCCGGGATCATGACCTGAGCCAAAGGCAGAGGCTTTAACCCACTGAGCCACCCAGGCGCCCCACAAGTATAATTTATTCTTAATTTATTCTGTGGCCAATTATGGATGTTTATTCTCAGATGCTGACGCAGCCTTGGGTAACTGAATTAAACGTCATCGGTCACGTGTCTTTGGAGACAACACTGGGTTTAGTTTGCTGTATGGGCAGGATACTGGCCTCTATGTTGGCAAGAGAGATCAGCCAGTGCTTTTTCTGTCTTGAAACATACCGTCCGGTTTTGATATAAAGGCTCTGCTGCTTCATAAAAATTCTCCATAATATTTCTATAAAATGGTGTTAGTTCTCCCTTAAATGGTTAGAAGAATCACCTAGACTTAAGGTTTTGTTAGTTTGCTTTATGCAAAAATCGTTAAAATTCCTAATTTAATTTATGTGATTAATATTGGAAAATTTAGGTTTTATTTCTTCTAGTGTCTGTTTTTATATATTATGTTTAAGGCATTGATATATTTTAACCAAACTGTCAAAATTACTCTTGTACGTAATGTCCTCTGAATAGAGTTTGTAACTCCTGAGATCTGTAAAGATGTTCTATTTTTTTTTTTTAGGTTATTTATTTATTTGACAGAGAGATCACAAGTAGGCAGAGAGGCAGGCAGAGAGAGAGGGAAGCAGGCTCCCTCCCGAGCAGAGAGCCCGATGCGGGGCTCGATCCCAGGACCCTGGGATCATGACCTGAGCCGAAGGCGGAGGCCTTAACCGACCGAGCCACCCAGGCGCCCCAAGATGTTCTATTTCTGATGCCTGACACTGGTGACTTCCCGTCACCGAGGGTGACGTACGCAGTCACTCTTGCCAGAAGTTTGTCAATTTCATTAGTTTCTTCAGAGAATCGCGATTTGGCTTTGGTGATGTTTTTAACGTAATCTTCACTTTTTATTTCGTTGGGTTAAACTGTGTTTTATCTCTTTCTACCTACTTTCTTGGAGTTTAATTTTTTTTTTAAATAACTTCTTGAAAGAGAGTTTGGCCTCCCTCTCCTCTGATGTATACAGTCAAGGTCACAGGTTTTCTCCAAAGCCTTGCTCCCCTTCATGGCGCGTCGGCCACTGATTGACCCAGGACATGGGACCTTTTTACCAATTTAAAATACTTTCTGGTTCTTAGCAGATTTCTTCTTGGACCTCGGGCCATTTAGATTAATTTCTAAAATGCTTAAGGACTTTCTGGTTATCTTTTTCTTACTGATTTTAGTTAAATTTCCCCTCAGTCAGAGAACGTACATATGTGATTGAATTTCTTTGAAGTCCGTGGGACCTCGCTCCTTAAGCCCTGCGCACAGTCCGTTCGTGTCAACGCTCCGTGTCACTTGGGAAGCTCACATGCGCTTTGGCCACCGGGCGCGGCGTCCTGTCAGTGTCGATTAGGTCAAGTCTCTGCTCATGTCGCCCAGACTCGTCTCTGCCGGTGGTTTGCCGCGTCTTCTGTCAGTGGCTGGCGGGGGGGACCCAAATCTCCGTCCCTGGTCATTCACGTTCTCTTCCACATCTTCTGCTGCTGCTTTCCTTTGTGTATTTGCGGTTATGTTTTCTGGCACATACAGACTTAGAATTAGTATCTTTGTCCCAGAGTGACAGCTTTTTAAAGGATGAAACAGCCACCTTTGTCCCTGGTTCTACCCACAGTTCACTTCGTATGCTCTGCTTTACCTCCCCGCGCTCCCCTGGGCTCTATCCTTCCCTGTCCTTTTGCTGTCGACCTCTCTACATCTTCACGTCTGTACGAAGATTTCTGTACAGAATTATGAGCAACATCAAGGTGCCTTTTGAACCGGTCTGGCTGCGTCTGTCTGTGCACTGGAATGCTTGTCCCCTTGGGGCGCGCACACTCCACGGCCTTACGCTCGTCCTTCTTTCTTACCTCCTTCCCTGCTTCTTCTGGATCAATCGAATATTGATTCTATTTCATTTTGGTTCTGTTGCCCTGTTGCATTGACGTACTCTCGTCATCCCACCCGTGGCTGACTGGTTAGGGCCGGCCTGGGTCGGCCTGGATCGGCCCATCTGCCATGGCCCCGGTGGCCCGTGGCGCTCGCAGCCGCGCGGCGCCCTCCGTGCCCTCTGCCTCTCGTGCGGTCTTTCGTCGTGCGCTTGCGTTTCGCGCGCACAGACACGGGGACGCATGCGGGTTTCAGGTGCATGGATCAGACCGAGATCGTTCCCCAGAGCCCACCATTGCTGAAAATTATGAAATGTCCCTCTTTGTCTCTAGTAATGTTTAAACCTCATGAAGCGCTACCGTTTCAGTCAATACAAATTGAAAGGTTCTCATAAATCTGTCATTTTATGCGTTCTTAACCCCTCCCCGTACCCCACGCTTCCCCCGGGGATCACTTTTCCCAGCCTGTCCCCTGAACGTGCCTTCCAGTGCGGCTCTCCCAGCCGTGAATTATCTTGCTTTTGGTTTCAGCTTCCTTTCTCCTTTTTACTGTGGCAAAATGTACATAACATAAAATACAGCATCTTAACCGTGTTTGTGCCCAGCTCAGGGGCCCTAACCACACTCACGTGCTATGTGGCCGTCCCCAGCCTCTGTCTCCAGAACCGTTTCATCTTGGGAAACTGAAAGTCTGGCCCCATGAGACCCTAACTCCCCCTCCACCTCCCCGGCCCCGGCTGCCACCATCCTGCTGTCTGTCCCTCTGAATCCGACTCTTCTAGGGACCTCATCTGAGGAGAATCGTACAGGATTTACTTACTTTCCTTCTTCATTTTTAGGGTCTATTAGATGGGTCTAGGACGCTAGGTTGGTCATGATTTTCCTTGAGGAGTTTACAGATGGCACCTGGCGTGGCGTCTGGGGGGCTCAGTTGGTGAAGCCTCTGCCTTGGGCTCAGGTCATGATCTCAGAGTCCTGGGATCGAGCCCCAGGTTGGGTTCTCCATCAGCAGACAGCCTGCTTCTCCCTCTTCCTTTGTCCTTCCCCCTGCTCGTGCTTTCTCTCTCTCATTCTCTATCTCAAAAAAAGTAAATAAAATCTTAAAAAAAAAAAAAGGACGTCACCCAGCTTTTACCCTTTCTGTTGAAAAGCCAGTCATCAGGATAATGCGTCATTGTCCCCAACCCCTCCTTCACTACTTCTGTGACATTCCCTGTGACTTTGGTCTCGGCCGCATTACTCTGAGAAGCCCGGGGAGCTAAAGTCCTATTGGCGTCTGCGCTCTGATGTCTTCCATCATTTTTGGGCCGTTCTCAGCCTCTGAGTCTCCCTCTTGCCTCCTCCCCTTCTGGGATTTCACGTGTCTTGGAATCCTGTCTCCCGCATCTTACACATTTTCTGTATGTTTAATTCTATCTTGTCTCCCTGCCCCTACCCGGAAATTCCCTTGCAGATCTCCTCTGCTATCAAATTTGCCACGTTCTTAATTTCTGTTATTGTCCTTTCTGTTCTAGAATTTCCGGTTTATTATTTTTAAGGTTTTATTTCTCGGGTGAAACACTCCATCTATCTTCTTGAACAAATTAATCAGGGTTTTTTAAGTCTTTATCTCAAAGCTCGGAAGCAAACCACAGCCGTCTGTTTGCTCGCGAGCCTGCGGGCCCGCCTTTGGGGCGGCTCATCTGGGTGGTCTCCTCTCCTCCACATTGTTCCTCCAGCAGCCCCGCTCAGACACGTCTGCATGACAGCGGCATTTTGAGAGACGACAGTGGGAGCTCTGAGGGCTCTTGAGACCGTGGCTCATACACATGGTCCACGTCCGCCGTGGTGGGAACAGACCCCACCTCTTGCTCAGGGAAACTGCAAAGGACCTGCCTTCCTCTTTGATCCACAGCAGGCTGCCCTCGGGCCGTAACTTTTTCATTCCTCTCAGCACAAAATTCGCTCACCTCAAAGTCTCATCCAGTTAATGACAGCGTCACGCTCTATGCCCAACATCTTAGGATCCACCATTTTTTTCCCCCAGCCTCTGCCCAATGCCCAGTCTCCAAGCCAGCACCATGCGCTTGAAGACTCTGATACGACAGGACCCCTGGCCGGGTCCTAATTTCTCTACCTGTAATCCATTGCTGCCTAGGAAGCCACACCTAAATGTCGTGGGTCAAGACCACAGCTCGTTTTCTTGGTCACGATTCTGTGGGTCCGTAATTTGCTGTCGGCTCCATGGGGAGGTCGCTCTGCTGGCTTTGTGTGTGCGTTTGTGCGGTCCTCTGGGGCGGGCTGGTCAGAGGTGGCTTCACTCACGTGTCTGTTGCCTGACACTGGCTCTCGACTGGGCCACCTCTGTTCTCCTCCGAGCCACCTCTCCAGCCACCCAGCTCAGGCTGGATCATGCGGCCACATTCCAAGAGCACATCAGTTATACATGGTGTGACTTCCCAGCATTCTTTTTCCAGAGCAAGTGTCAAGGTCAGCCCAAATTCAAGTAGTGGGAAAACCAACTCTCTCTCCTGACAGAGGAGCTCCAAGCTTCTGGGCCACTGAATCCGCCACACCTCAAGATCTGTTTCTGTGGTCTCTTTTTGCCCTTGCTTTTCCGTCTTCTCAGTGTAAAAATACATAAAGGCTCCATGATACTATGGCCCTAGAGATCATTTTGGTTTTCCTGCGGCATGTGCAAGCCACAGGACAGCGCACTCTTCCTGGCAGAGGCCTGGTCATGTGCAGTCTCAGCAGCCAAAGCCCCACCCCTTCCATGTGCGTGTGTTTCCTTCTAGACTTTTTCTACACACGTTATCAGTCATGTTTCCTGTTTTGATGTTTCTAGAAGGATCTTTATTTCTAGAAGGATCTAGGTTTCTAGAAGGCACTTGAGAGGGGAGACACTTGGGAAGGCGCCAAGTGTCTGAGGTGCTGGGCACAGGATGAGGGCCGTAGGGGCCACTCACACCTCTCTTCCCTCCTCCCCCGCAGGCTGCGGGAACACCACCGGGCCACCATCAAGGTCATTCGGCGCATGCAGTACTTTGTAGCCAAGAAGAAATTCCAGGTGAGTCCTACATTGAGCCCTCCCGCCCTGGGCCAGCCCAGAAACTCCTCTCCCACTCGCGGCAAAGGCTACAAGGCCTCCGTACCCTGCCACACCCTAGACCTGACCCTTCCCTCACCAAATACCCCGGAACAACTTTGTTTTCGTCTGTAAGACAGCGCACCCCTGAAAGGACCCTGCGCCGAGGTCCAGCCTAGAGCTGGATGCACACAGAGCCTCGGGGACTCACCCTTCTCTCCCCGAACTGACCGGCAGATGACGCAGGAGTGACAGAGGTGCTGAGTCTGTCCCACATCACCTGGGCGGGAAGTAGGGTCTCCTCGTCCCCAGAGCCCTGTCCCCGGGAGTCAGTGCTTTTGGCCCTGTTCTTCCCCCACCCCCAGTGGGAGTCAGAACAGAAGGGTAGCCTGGCACCCCGGGGGGGGCCCCTTTCCAGGAGAAGGAAGGGCTCCTCTGTTGGGGCCGGAGCTGGAGGGGCACCCTTGCCCATCCCCTTCCCTCCAGGGCCAGGTTTGCGGCAGCCACCCCTCGGAGCCCCTGGAGCCAAAGGGCCCCAGAGAAAGCCAGCTGGTAGCAGGCTCAGCTCCTTCCTTCGGCTGTGGGGACAGTCCTTGGTCTGAGGAGGTCCCTGGCTCAGCCTTCACTCTGAGAGCATGTGGACTGCAGAAACGGGGACCCTCAGGTGTGCCCATTCTCCTTCCAGAACACCTGGCCACTGTGCTCACCCACCCCCAACGAGTGTCACATGCAGCCCCAGGGCTCTGCAGCTGGCTGGTCTCGGGCAGCCCACGCACACCGTCCCTCGGTGGCACCCTGCTGCCTGTCTGCCTGGCACTCCCGGGCAGGGAGGCTGCTCACCGCCAAACTGGGACAAGTCACACAAAGGGTCCCACTAGGGTCTGGGACTTCTCGTTGCCCAAACACACGAGGCATCGTAAATGCCATTCTTGGCTGGCAGCCAGAGGTCTGCCTGGCAAGATCCTGGGAAAGACATGATGGCCCCAGAGGTGGAGAGTATCTGAAGCCTGTGGCCCTGCCTTCCCTCCCACAGAGGGGAAGCGTGGGAGGCAGGGAGCCGAAGGGCGCTGGAGGAGGAGGGGCCCACCTCCCAGCAGCAGCAGCACCTCTGGGTGGGAAGGGGCACGGACCCCCTGCAGGGGACTGCTCTGGGCAGCACGGGGGAGGTCCTGGGAAGGGCCGGGATATAGCCCCCTCACTGGCCAGCAGCCTGGTGGTGATAACGAAGACCCCAGACATCAAACGGGTAGAGTAGGGGCGTCAGTGAAGAATCTTCTAGAATGGGGATGGCCCCCACCTGAGAAGCCAGGCTGCTGAGTCTCCCAAGCAGGGCCCTACAAGACGGGGCAGCGGGGAGGCTGTACAGGGTGGGCAGTGGGCTTGCTGGGTTTAGGGGCCCCCAGCACAGCAGGCAGAAACTTGAGGCTCTGACTGCCCAGTTCAAGTGTCATGTGGGCAGCTTCCGGCTCGGGACAGAGTTTGTCCTTGGTAGACGGGTGCCCACTGCAGTGAGAGCTGACTTGGGGAGCACCCCATCCCCAAAAGGCAGGCAAGAAACTGCCTGTGGGTATCAGCAGGGGCCCCGTACTTCCTTCTAGGCTGGGGCCCCCTTCCCTGCTGCAGGACACAGGTCAGGGCCCTGCGAGTGGCCCCCAGAAGAAGGCCGGGCCAACCTACCTTCCCTGCTTTCTGCCCCACGTCTGTGCCCGGGACCTTTGGGGCCCCCAAACAAAGCTGGTGGGGCCCTTTGAATGGAGATGCTCCTGAGAGCCTCCCTGTGTGTCCCAGTGGGGCACCGAGGCTCTCGAACAAGGCGGGGGACCGGGGCGGCCTCAGCCTCACCAGCTGGGCCGTGTTGCCAGTGGCGAAGTTCCACAGGGAGGAGGGACCCCCAGGGGAGCGGCCTGGAGGGAGTGCCTGGCTGTGAGGAGGTCTGCGGGCCCAGCTGTCAGGGAGGCCTTCCCTTCCCCCACAACAGCCTGTTGGTCTGTCTGCCTGCACCCCGACCCCGCCCCCCAGCCCCAGGCGTGGCGGGTGGCCCCCCGCCTGCCTCGCTGCGGCCGATAAGTGCCCGGGGGGCCGCCCCTGTGTCTGGCCAGAGGAGCCAGAGGCTCTTAGCCCTTCGAGTTTGCCTTGAACTCCCGTGTCCACCGTCGGTCAGTCTGGACAGCGCTGCATTATCTCGGCTCATCTCAGGCTCCTGCTGCTGCCGTCAGAGGAAATGAGCTCTGGAGGGAAAGTTGAGATGGTTTCTCCGGCGGGGCCCCAGGCCACCCCTGACAGAGGCCTCCAAGAGTGCGGACCAGACCCTGGGGGCCTAGCAGCTCCAAGATAAGTCTCAGGGCGCCTGGGGCCCCGCCGGGAGGCACGGACCCTTCTGTGGTCTGGGCTCTGAGCGCAGGGAGGTGGGGCTCACACGCCCCCCCCGCCCCAGAGCCGTGTCCGGCAGCCCCCCGTCCTGCAGACCCGTGCAGGCACATGCTCCTACTCTCCCTCTCTCTCTCGCACACACTCTCACGCCTTCCCAGAGGCACACGCGTGCACACACAAGGTCCCGACGCACTCGGGTGCCCACGTCCACCTGCGCACCACGGTCTATGCTCTCCAGCCTCTCTGGGAGCCCATCCCAGGGGTGTGCTCCCTCCTCCCCAGGCCAGGCCCACTCCCCCCAGAGCTCTGAACGCAGCCCATGTCCCAGCCCAGACCTCACTGGCCTAAGCATGCCCCCCGGAGCCCTGGGGCCCACAGGAGGCTGACCGTCATGACCCAGGACTACCTCCCACGTGCACACGGAGAAGGAGCTCAGACTCTTCCAGAAGGAAGACCTAGGTCTGGGTGCGTTATCACCAGCCCGTACCTAAATGTTGCTGCTACGACGGTCATTCAGCTGACCGTGCGGGGAGCCAGAGGCCCGTCCCCGAGTCCTCTCCCATGTCCGCCCCGTGGTCTCGCGACAGGCCTTGGATATCGCCCACAAGGTGGTTCTGGAGCCCAGCACGGACCCCGAGGGAGACGAGTCTTCCCGTATGGGGTACAGCTGTGCTTTGGGGACAATTGGGTCCAATCCCACCCTCCCCCACCAATCTCAGGGTCTTCGTTTGGGGTCCACAGAGGGACTGTGTGTTGCCTGTGAGGGCCAAGGGCCTGGACTTTGGGGCCTAGCCTCTGGGAGGAAGGAGGCATCTGCCGTGGAACTCCCAGAGTCCAGAACCCTAGCAGGGGAGCTGCCAGGACTCCGAGTTGCCCACGTGGCGGGCAGAGCCCCTAGGCCCATCAGAAACAGTCCAGGATCTGAAGAAGGTGACCCCGGGGTACCCCGTGTTTCTGGGAAAACAGGGCCAGTTGTGCCGTCAGACTAGGGGAGCCCCAGTCTTGGGGGACGGGGCCACCGCAAGGAGGAGTAGGCTCTGCTGGGCAGGGAGGACATGTCCCCAGGGGACCCCACGGCAGACGCCCAGCCCGGACAGTCAGTGGGTCTATGAACCTCGTTCCTCGTGGTCTCTGCCCTGGCCTCCTCCACCACGCTGTCTGGCTTGCCTCCCCGGCAAGAGGCAATGACCCCAGGCTCGTTGCTAACGCGGACTCCAGCGCTGCTGAGCCCCACTCGGGGCCCCACCCGCCCAGGCGACCCGTGGCCCCTTGGATAGAGGGGTCGCCTTCCCACACAGCTCTGGCTGACTTGCATGGGCGCAGGGCCTCTGGGCCAGGAAAATCCTGCTCCACTGGCCTGCTGCGACCTGGGGGAGACCCTCGGCCCGCGGGCTCCTGGGAACGGGGCCGTAAACGTGGCTTGAGGTTCTATGATGTCGTGAGAAGCCACGTGCTCGGTGGTGGTTTCTGGCGGTTTCACCTGAGCCCCATGTGCATTTATGGGCTCTGAGGTGGCACCAAGCCCAGGGGCCTTGGGGTCACTGCCCAGCCCTGCGTGGCCCCAGGCCCACCATGGGAGCACCCCCTCGGAGCCACACAGGCTGCCCCGTCGCAGAGAGCGAGCACAACAGGCCGCAGCTGTCACCCGAGGCCTCTTCTGCTGGCCTCTCCCCCGCCCTGAGAATGGTGCGTGGGTCAGGGCTCAGCGTGGGGCCCTGAAGACCATGGCTGCGCAGAGCCCGGCCCCTCCTGGCCCCACAGAGTGACAGGTTCCTCCCAAGAACAGGGCCTGGTAACCTGGAGAGGGGAGGCAACGGTGCCCTGTGGTGAGTGGGCAGGAAGCTAAGGCCCAGAGAGGCCAAGCCTCCAGCCCAGGGTCCCCCAGCTCCAGCGACCCAGCCCCAGGGCCGAGGAGGCCCTTGTGTGTGCCCTGGGCCGGGACAGCCCCATTGCTCGTTGCTCAGCAGCATTGACCTCCTCAGGTCCCCGAGAGGCCCCATGCAGGCAGGCAGCATCACTGTCGCCGGTGGCACTGGGCGGACAGGGCGCAGCACAGAGGGTGACAGTCTTTGTGGTCTACAGCAAGCCCGGAAACCCTATGACGTGCGGGACGTCATCGAGCAGTACTCCCAGGGCCACCTCAACCTCATGGTGCGCATCAAAGAGCTTCAGAGAAGGTGGGCACGGGGGCGGGACGGGGGGTGTGCATGGACGGGGCGGGACACGGGGTCAGGGGGTGGTGTGATGGATGCGGGCACGGCGGGGGAAGATGGATGGGGATGGGGCGGGGGTGTGTGATGGACAGGGGCATGGGCATGGGGGGGTGGGGCAGCTGGGCTGGGGGCTCCCTGGCCAGCCTGCTGCCCCCACAGAGCCACGGATACCCTCCAGCTACCCCCACCCCCACCACACCACCTGGGAGCCAGGAGGGCCAGGCCTGCCCAGGACACACCCAGTGCCCGGCATAGAGTCCTGCCCCCTGGGCTGCACCCCTGAGGCCTCCCCATCCTGGGCCTGGAATCAGGAACACTAACTAGTGGGAGATGCCAGCTTCTAGCATCCGGCCTGAAGAGTTTGTCCCCACGGAAAATCCATGGTCCCCGGGGCCTGCACAGGCTCAGACTTGCTGTACCTCTCCAGTGGGCTAGCCTGGGGACCTACCCCCCGTGTCCTAGGGTAAGGCTGGGACACTATGTCCGTTCTGACCTCAGCCAGAGGCTCAGGCTGCCCCCGACCACGGCTAACCCGCTGTAGGGATGTGAAGCCCGCTTAGCTCGGCAATGGGGCCTCACCCTGGAAGGGCCCGCTCCCCGCCAGTCTCTCTGAGTGGCTGAGGCGCCCGGCCTGGTCTTCTTACAAGGGAATGACAGGACTCGGGACACTTGCCCCGGGAGGAAGCTGAGGGACTCTGCCACTGCCCCTCGCCTCTGAGTAGCCCTCGAAAGTAGCACAGGCTTCTGGGCCTAGGAGGACCGTGGTGGGCTCAGGGCAGTGGTGGGTGTCCCCAAAAGGGGTGAGTGGCTGGTCGCCCTGCCGGGCACCTCACCTGTCCACTCACCAGTGGGCTGGGTGGGTGTGTGTGGAGCCCGGGCCGAGCACGAGCGGGTCTGTCTCCTTCCCTCCCTCCCAGGCTGGACCAGTCCATCGGGAAGCCCTCCCTCTTCATCTCTGTCTCAGGTGAGTTTCCTCATCCAGACACGCTGCCCGCACCAGACCCTTGGCCTCCCCCTCCACCCACGCCCGCCTCTCCCCATCAGAACAGGCCAGAAGGGCCTTGGAAGTGCAGGACAGGCCCACACGCCGGTGGACACCCCCCCCGCCCCGCCCAGCCAAGGGCCTAGACATGTGCTTTATAAAGGAATCTTTGGTGCATACAGGATCTCTTTAGACGGGGGGCCTTTCTAGGCCCTCAGAGATCTGAGTGTGACTTCAGGACCCCATGCAGGGCAAGTAGCCAGCCCAGACAGACCTGAGGGGCCGGCAACAGCAGCAGCTGGGCGGGAGCTATTCTCCAGCCCTGACCCCTCGTGTCCCCCGGACCGGGGCTACAGCTCCCTCCAGGGAGGACAAGGCCAGGCCGGTCCCGTGGGTCGCCCAGCCCGAGTCCTGGTGGGAGCCATGGCTCAGCGGGGGCCGGATGGCAGGGCGTTTGGCGAGGCCAGCAGGACACCGGGGGCCGGGGCGGGGGGCGCAGAACATGCAGGTCTGTGTCAGCAACCCAGCGGCACGTCCCAGGCCACTGCATCGAGGAGAAGCAGGTCTAAGTGGTTCCAGGGCCTCCCAGCACAGACAGATCAGGGTTAGGTCGTGGCACGGTCCACTGCGTGCGGCAGCTCCGAGTCCGGCAAAATCAAGGAGCAGACCTTATCCCGCAGGACCCTGTTGCTAGTAAGCACGGACCGTCCCCCGAGCTGCCAGCAGGGCTGGATGACGCGTCCCCACGACAAAGGGTAATGAAAGCCCTTGAACCCTGGCACGAGTTACTAAGGTGGGACACGGAGGCAGGAAGTGAGCACACGCTGCTCGGGAAATGGCGCCCACAGGCTCGCCCACCGCGGGGTCGCCACGACCTCCCACTCCGACAGCACGCGGCCTCCGCACAGCCCCGTCCCGCGGGTGCGCCTGCCCCCCGCCCGCAGCCCCCACGGGGAAGGCCCCGTCCTCCTGGGCCGGGTTTCGGAGGCCTCGCGGGACCCCCCCGCCCAGCCCACCCCCGCACCTCCCGGGGTTCCCACCGTGGAGGTGCTCACAAGCGGGCCTTTGACCCTAGACGGCGCCCCCCAGCCCCCGTCACCCTTCCCTCCGGGCCCCTCCCCCGCCAGCATGCGCGTCCCTGACTCGGGCACTCTACCCCGCAGAGAAGACCAAGGACCGCGGCAGCAACACCATTGGGGCCCGCCTGAACCGGGTGGAAGACAAGGTAGGCACGAGATCCCTGGGCCACGCGGGCTCCGGTGACGGTCATGGTCCTCGGGGCGGCACCCACAGCAGCTGTGGATTCTCCCAGTGGCGTCGCGAGCCGTGTGCGGGCCGCCCTGCACCCCGGCCTGGGCTCAGGGCGTGCCCTGTGGCACCAGGGCCTCCCTAACCTGGGGCTCACGTCCACTCCCCCACTCGAAGCCGATGTCGGTCCCCAGGGCTCTGGTTTGTAGGACCTCTGGTACATGGTGTCTTTACTGACAAGTGGCACCTGGTGCCCCCAGGCCCCTCTCGGGAGCGGCTAATGCTGCGCAGGGCACGGGGGACAGGGGCCGTCTACGCCGCCACCGTGTGTGCTCGGGGAATTCAGAGGTGCTGAGAGCGGCACAAGGGTGCGTCGCGGGGAGCTGGAGCTGGGACTCGAGGACCCCCATGTGGGGTGAAGACCACGCTCGGGGAGCGCTGGGCCGACCAAGGCCCCGATGCGTATCCAGGTGGGACGTGGGCCTGTGAGTCCGGGGCACAAGCACGGCCCCTCGGCCACCAGGATGCCTCCGCCGCCAGCAGGCCTGCGGGCCTCTCAGCGCAGGAGCCTCTCCCGGGGTGTCCTGGGGAGCCGAGGGGGCCTTTCTTGGGCTCAGGCCCTCCCTGTGAAATCTCTGGGGTTCAGAGGGGGCCATTATCGTGCCCGACAGCTCGTCCGTCTACACGGGCTTTATCTGAAAGTAGCTGGGAGACTAAAAATAGAGGGTTTCGCTGGGCAGGGCCTGTGTGTGCCTTTCGGTTTCCTGGGCAACGCCGGGCTCTGGCCCACTTCCATCCCCACTGAAGCTGGGCAGGCAGGGCAGGGGTGCGGCTCCCTGGGCCCCCTGGCCCGCAGCATCACACCCTCCCCACGTGTACCATCCACCTTGGCCTGGGCTGGCCGTGGGGCCTGACACGGGACGGGGCCAGGACAGGAGAGGGAGGGCCGCTGTCCAGGTACCCACCGGGGTCCTCACTTTTGGCCTGGCCAGCTGAGACTATGCAACCCCAACATCCGGCCTGCTGGAGGGTCTGGCCCCCGGGCAGTGCAGGCCCCAGCCAGGCTGGTACCTGGCCTGCTCTCGGGCAGATGGCCTGGTGGCAGATGGCCTTGTCTGGCAGGAAGAGAGCAGGAGAGGTCACGTCCCCAGGCGGCAGGTATCAGAGGCCCGGGGACCCTCCACGGAACCAGGGTATCCTTGGCTCTTCCAGTGCCTGGGACCAGGGACTCGGGGCTGGCATAATCCTCCAGGAGCGGCTGGTGGCCACCTCCGGTGCGGCAGGCCAGGCACCCTGGGGGGAGCTTCTAGACAGCAGAGGAAGCAGAGGTAGGACAGGGGATAGACCCGGGCCCCTTTCTCCAACCTGCTCACCCAGCCCTGGCCCCCGGCCAAGCAGGCTTTTGCTGACCGACCTCCACTGCTGATAGGGATCGTGGTGGCCCCTGGGTACGCAGGCCTCCCTGCCCTAGGGGACCGGGGAGTGGCCCCTGTTGCACAGCTTCCAGATGCGCTCCCCTCTCCCTGCCCTGGTGTTCGAGAGTTTTCTTATGGCTCTGCCCTCTGCTTCTCAGGCCAGGCCACCCCTTAAAGCTCAGACTAGAACCTGGTGTCCTCTGGGGATGGCAGTGGGTTGGGACAGGGTCTCCTGGAGCAGCGCCCCTGCCCAGGCTGGAGAAGCAAACATCCAGCCGCCTGTGCGGGTCTGACAACCAGGACGGCCCGGTTGGCCACGGCCGGCACGGCGGGCTGCGGTGGGGCCCCGCTTGCCTCCACGATGCAGAATTACGGACGCGCCCTCATTTCTTCAGGTCTAAACAACAAAGCTAAGTGTCTTCCAGAGTCCCTGACCTGGGGGCAAGGTTTGGGAAGAAAGGAGAGAGGAGACCACCGGACCGTGGGGGCGGCCGGGCAGGCGGGGTCTGTGCTGCCTCCACCCCCTTCTGCGGGGAGGAAGCGGTTCAGTGTGAGCCGAACCCAGCTGCTCGCAGTCTCCCAGGTAGCGCGCGAGCCGCAGCTCCGTGCCGTGTCGCAGCCCAGGCGGCCCCTCGAGGCGCTGGCCGAGATGGGCTCCACCGGCCCCGGCCCTCCTCAGCTGCTGGCCTGCGCCCCCTCAGCGACAGACCCTGGGAAAGGGCCTCGCCGGGTCCAGAGGGCACGGTGGCCCGTCCTGGGCCCCACGTTATCGCAGTCATCACTGGGGCCGTTGGGACCATAAACAACTCCAGAGCCATCCTGCTGACTGCGGGAAGCGGGAGGCAGGAAGTCCAGCAGCCACCGGCCCTCAGGGGCCCAGGAGGCCTGGACAGTGCCAGCCGGCCAGAGGCCCCGGGCCTTCCCCGACCCCACAGGGCTGGCCGAGGGCAGGGAAGGAGTCTGGCCCTCATGTGGGATGCACGGCTCTGGCCGCAGCTAGGATGGCGCTCCTGCCCCAGGCGCACGCACTCAGCTGCGGGACACGGGCTTGGAGAGGACGGGGAGGATGTTTGGGGAGTGCAGCTGCTTGCCCCCATTCTTAGGAACAGAGCAGTTCTGAGGAGCGGGAGCCTGGGGTGTTCACGTGCAGGGAGCTGCCTGGGAAAGCCAGCTCGACTTGTCTAGCGGTGCCTCCGTTTCCCTGCAAGGAGCCCCCTCCCCTTATGTGCAGGCCCGGCCCTGAAGGGGAGAAGGGTCCCAGGCACTTGCCGTTCCCAGAGCCCTTGTCACAGCTCCTGTGTGCCAGAGGGCCTCCCCCACCTCAGAGGCCCCCCCGCCTGTTCCTGGAGCACCTAGCACCCCTGTCGAGGCCTGGCCTGGCTGTGAGGACCCACCTCACTCCAGGGCTGTGACGAGCAAAACTGGCATTGCCACCCGACAGCCTGAGTTCCCCCAGCCACCCTTCTACAGTGAAAGGGAAAGGCCCTCCTCGCAGGCTTCTGTTAAAAATGCCCCGAGCCGCCCCACTCCCTCCCATTGTCCTTCTGGGAAAGAAGGACCTTCGTTCGTGCCAATAAATCCTTCCTTGCGTGTGGGGAAACTGAGCCCCAGAGAGGTTGAGCAGTGTCCCAAGGTCACACAGCGGGTCAGGCGAAGAGTTGGTCCCGGGGGGTCCGGGGGGGGGGCGCAGGCGGGTGGGAGCCACGGTGGAGAGCCGGAGGCGAGCGCAAAGTGCTTCATGAGCACGAAACCTCAGGGTCAGTTCGAAAAGAGGCCAGGTAGCAGCAGGGCAGGCCAAGCTGGGGACCGGGAGGGTTGGGACAGGCAGGAAAACCCGTGGGCTGCGTCGGCCAGAGCAGCGGCACAGACTAGGCCAGAGGGGCCTGACCAGGGCCTGGAACAGGAGCCCCGAGAACATAGGCCCCTGCTCAACCTCCTGCCCTGCAGGGGCTGCTTGGGAGGCAGGCGTCCCCTTGGCTCTCTGGGGAACCGTGAAGACGGCTCCAGCCCCCGCCCCCGTGCATGTTCTTAGCTCAGGCTGCAGGGTCGATGCTGAGCCCTGTGTGTTTTGCAAGCTCAGCTCGTCCTGCTTTTGCTGATATGAGGGGCACAGTGGGCTGGGAGGATTTCTTTCTTCTCTGTTTTTGCTGGAAATATTCATGGCTTAGAGCTGGACACAGGGAAGGCCTGGGCTTGCAGGCCCCAGTTCAGAGGGCGTGGGTGGGACGGGGCCCTCACCCCCACCATCAGACACTCCTTCCACAGTCTCTTATCCTCAAACCCTGGCCAGGCACACCTCTCTCCTGGACGCGAATGCCCCCAGCCCGGGAGATTCCCCCCAACACACACACAGCACACTGGCCCTGGACCCCCCTGCTGAGCACACGTTTGCCCCTCATTGATACCAGACAAGCCCAGTTACCCAGGACCTGGGGTCTGCCCCAGACACGGCTCCACTGCTCTGTCCTCAGCCCAGAGGGACTCCTCCATCCCCCCAGCTGCCAACTGGCCTGAGACCTGGTCATCCAACAGCCGCATCCCTGCTCACCCCCAAGAGCTACCTAGATGCCACTCACCCATCTCTCTGGCCCCATGGCTTCCCTGCTGGGTCTAGGCGTTGGTCATCTCCCTCTGTGACCACTGTCCACCTACCCATGTGGACTCCGGTCCCGCCAGCCCTTTGAAGTCTGCGTTATTTCTTAGACACAGCTGAAAACCACCTGCTCATGTTTTCTTCAGAATTTTTGCACTGACATTTCTGTGTGAGATACATACATAACCTCATTTTCCTTTTTTACACCGTCTTCATCAGGATGTGGGGTCAAATTTACATGAGCCTCCCTGAATGAGTGCAGAAGTGTTCTGTCCTTTTCTACTTTCTAGAATATTTCATATGGGATTTGGAATTCTCCCCCTCCTGAACGTTAGGTGTCATTAAAGGTAAAGCCATCCAGGCCTGGCGCTTTCTTTGTGGGAAGACCTCACAGTCTGAGTCAAGGACGTGGCAGCTATAGGACAGTGGGTTTTCTGTCTCTTCTCGTGTCAGTTTTGTTCAGTTGTATATCTAGAAATCTTTGTTTCCTCTCCGTTTTCCAGTTTACTGGCGTTATCATTTTAATGTCTGTATTATCTGTAGCTAAGTGCCAGTTGCTAATTTTAGACTTTCTAGATTTCTAAAGTGTGACTTTAAGGTTCTCCATTTTCATCTAATGACCACTTAAAGTGCATTTAATTCCAACGTCCACTTGCTTGCACACCTTTCTCATCTCCGTGATGACCTCTTGTTTGTCCCAGCAGCTCTTTCCAGCATGATTTTTGTCATTGTTAGAATTCTAAGAGTTTTCTAATTGCTCACTTGTCAGTGAAAGTGCTTGTGTGGCATCAGTCCTTTGAAATACTGTGAAGCCTTTTTTTTTTTAAAGATTTTATTTATTTATTTGACAGACAGAGATCACAAGTAGGCAGAGAGGCAGGCAGGGAGAGAGGGGGAAGCAGGCTCCCCGCTGAGCAGAGAGCCTGATGCGGGGCTGGATCCGAGGACCCTGGGATCATGACCCGAGCT